TTTATTAAATATATATTATACAATATAATTAAATAAAATAATATATACAATAATTAAAACATATATTAAATAAGATAATAAAAGTATATTCATTAGATGAGTAAAATAAAAAAAAAACAATTATTAATTCTTAAGAATATTTGTTTAGTTAAACTTTTGATTAAAAAGGAATAATTTTAAGATACAGGAAATAGAGCGAGATTAAGTCCAGGCCTTCAAAGGTTAGATAGCGCGCAAAGAGTGTAAATGTGTACTAATTAAATTTAATACCCCAGAGGGGGACAAAAATAGACTTCGCTTAAATTAAAGGGCGGGTTAACTTTGAGAAATGATCGAGACTACGTAAGTCGTACTTTCTCTCATTTTATCTACCTACCTACGCCGTAAGTCGATATAAACGTACGACAGGAGTCGTACTTCTACAAACGTCGGACAAATTTCTTCCCTTTCGCGTCCATTAGTTTCGCATTACGTGTCTCTGCAAATACACGGCCTGCGACGATGGTTGTATCTGGCTCGGAGAACAGCAAAGACGCGGGGATTAAATGCACTTCTGCAGCTGCAAATGCAGCCGGGATGTCTCCACGGGAAAAGTATGACTGCTATAACTGCGACTAATGAAAGGGAAGAGAAACGGGCGCGGAACGTTTTACTATGGCGTAATTAATTGCCGCGAAAAAAGAAAGAGGCACCGAGAGATGTTTCAGCACATACTGATGAGGATCTAAATTCTTTTGCTCTTGTTCTTGTACTCCATTAAGATGGTGTATTTGCAACGTGAAAAAAAGCTCGAAGCTTTATATGGATAAGCCGCGAAGAGTCACGAGTAGACACGCGCGCTCTGTGTGTGGTGTTTGTGTGTGTGTATGATCTGTTTGTCAAATTTAGATTTCTGCTCGATTGAGCCGATTTATTATCAATTTAATGACAACGAGGAAATTATCTATTCATCCAGAAATCTTTAACAAAGATATTCATCTATTAACTGTTAATCGATTAAAAAGTTGTTTAGCTCACTAAAAAACACATTATTTTATAATAATTTTTGTAATATAAAAATTAAAAACTAAAAATATATAAGATATATATTTTTCGTAGAAAGGAACATTAGATTTCATCAATTACAAAACTTATTTTCTCAAATGCCAAACAATATATAAAATGGATTAAATGATAAACAATCTATATTTATTATGTTTTTATGAAGTATATAATTTGTTGTACGTTAGGAAGAGGATATCTGATTTTGTATATATTCCCTCTTACATTTTCTTGTTACATAATTTCGGTAAAATATTTTGCATGCAGCTGACCTTTCACATTAGCTAAAAATAAATAATGTGCGTTAAAAGTTGCGTGATTTTATAGTATGATCCGTATAACTTATAGTCTGCAGTTTTTAATCTGCTCCAGCGCTACTTTAAACCCAGCTTGGCGTCACTCACTTTTAGCAAGTTTTTTGTTAAAAATATTTCGATAAAGAATTTTTATGATGCCTCTGTACATATATTTTAAATAATGAATAATACGTATCTTGTATTTATTATTATTAATTTGCACATTTTGATAATCTATAAATTGCTAGTATACAGTAACAAATATTACATCTATCCTTGTGTTTTTAGTATTCTGTAATTAATATTCGAATAATTTGAAGCAAACCTAATCATATCGCCCGATAATTTTTGAATCTAAATTTATTATATAAAATTTTAATTATTAAATTAATTTAAAAAGATGATGTACCATAACAAGTTGATTATTATTAGCATCCAAGTTTATTCTATAAACCGGAAATATTTTGTGAGATTTAAAAACGTTTCAGAATGTTAAATTTTTTAATATCGGCATTAACCGGGTTTTTTAACCGGAAGAGTGAGTCCGCATTCATTTAATTAAAAAAATAAAGTTAAAATATCGAGTAACCCAATGTATATTCGCGGTACGGAAGAACGAGTATAACAGTATATTATTTATTTAATTACGGTTTTCGTTTTTATTTTCCGCGTTTGTTTTGAAAGCTTATACAGCGTTAATCAGTCGTGAATATCGCGCGTGTAAGAGAAACCGCGTTTATAAAAAAATCTTTAGGATGCTCGTTTCCGAGATATGAAAGGAGTCTTGAAGGTAAGATGATGTACCATAACAAGTTGATTATTATTAGCATCCAAGTTTATTCTATAAACCGGAAATATTTTGTGAGATTTAAAAACGTTTCAGAATGTTAAATTTTTTAATATCGGCATTAACCGGGTTTAATCCTCAAATAGATTGAAAAACGAAAATATATACCGTGTTATCGTAGAACGGTCATGTTGCAACGGCGATTATTTTCACCCGTTGGACAGTTTCTATGCATTATTACGAGAGCGTTTTTGGGAATATCTAAAAGCTGAAATGCAATGACGTGATTTAGATTGACATAATTTTTTTCGGGTAAGAGAAAAATTTATAGAATAAAATGTGTGAGAGAGATAGAACAAGTATATTAAGCGTTTTGTAAAATATTAATCTTTTTGTTCGAAAAATGAACAGCGTTCTCTCAGAGTTAAAATAGATGTCAAAAAAACAAATATGAGTAATACGAAAAATTCGTTGGATTTCGACAAAACAAGGCTTGTGTTGTTTACGGAGGACAAGAAATTATAACAGCAGATTCTCTCATTACAAATAATCATAAGAGTTTCTGTAGAAATGTCATAAAGAAATGTCATGAAGAAAATAATTGCGCATTAAAATAAATAATTTTGAACCGAAAAGATTATTTTTGGATTTTGGTTTTTTGTAAAATAAAAATATGATAAAATTTATATTATTATTATAAAATATGTAATTTTTCTTGTATAATATGATTTTATATTACAAATAATTCTTCTTTCATAGTATGGTTCAGATTATGTCTGATGCAAATAAGGTATTATCTTAGGTATTCCAAATCTATCTTTCATATACTCTCCTTCATATAAATTTGTGGCATACGTTCATGTATGATTCTCTTATGATCCTCAAGTGCACAGTAACACCTACGTTAGCTATTTCACTTTATGACGTCAAAGCGGAAATAATGTATAATTTATTCTTGCAGTTTACGTTGAGATAAATAAATTTCTCTACACAACCACACTTGCGATCGACGCAAAACGGACCTGCAAAATGTGCCGAAAACTGCGGTTATGGTTCGTTATGCAATAACCATGTAGCCATGTAACTTGTTTTCATTGCGGCACCATATATAGGATAGATTTGAATTGAATTATGTAGCCGTTTATTGATTAACAAACCAAAACCGTAGTAGTCGGCAAATGTTCTATGAAAAGAGTCTTGAAGGTTCTCTCGCCTTAAAGTGATGTGTGTCGTAAACTTTTTATGAACTTGCTTGTAAAAACGCTAGAAAGATGGGGCTATATATTACTTTTGAAATACGAGCTATGCTTCTCAATTTTAACGTATCGATTCGGATATCAATATTCAATAGCAAACGCAAGCAACTGAATGCAGATATGAATACATTTGTATATACGGTACGGATATTTTATTTATACCACTTTTAAATATTTATATTTATATTTATATCTATAAAAATTCCTTATTTCCAATTCTTATAACGGATATTAAGTAGCATCGAAAAATATATTTAGATCGAAAAATATTATATATTTTCTTCTTAATAAGAATATAAAGCAACCGCTTAATTAGAAATATATATAGTTAGAAATTAAAACAAATATTTGATCAAAACAGATCGAAGGAGTAAACGTATAAAAAAAATTTTGCTAATATTAATTCGTGAGACACAATTTTCAAGATATCTATTGTTGAAAATTGAAAGCAATTTTTTTTTTACAAGAATCGTACAAAAAGGAGGAAGAATAGTAGACCTTACCTACGATAGTGATGAGAATCAGGAGACAGAGCACGATTGCTGTTAAAATGATTGGTGCATCGATGAAGATTGGATTTTCTACGGTTGCGTTTGCGGCTTGATCGACGTGGGCCTCCATCTTGGCTAAAGTATATTTCCCTTCAGTGTTCGCTATTCATCATCTGGTTAAATAATGTATCATGGTCCGTTCTCGTTAGAGCGAATCCAAAGCTTTTTTTCTTTGCTTTCGACAAACGCGGAGTCAACACCTGGCCGATAAACCTCGGCTATTCTTCTCGAACACTTTTATTTTTATCTCAGTATTTCCCGCAGTCTCCATTTTCCGTAATTTTTTGCTCCGAGATTCCATGGACTTTAAAATGCTGGTTTTTTTGGGAGGAATGTTAGTTCTTTCGTATGTATATCTGGAACAAAAAAGTGGAAAGAGATTAGTTTTGTAGATAATTTTATATTGAAGAAAAATATATATCTAATTTTTTAAAGACTAGTAGTACATCTCAATGGCAATCAAACGCGATAGTAAACTTTTTATTTTTGTGATCTTGTGGTTAAAAATACAAAGATATTTTCCTAAATTACAGAGAAACACATTTTTAAAGTATAATTTTTAAAATTATTAATTGTGTACATATATACTTATATAAGAGTAGTAAATCATCTAGTATTTATTTAGTAAATCATCTAGTATTTATTTAGTAAATCATTTAGTGTTATTATAGTATTGAATTTTGTGGTAACAATAGTAAGTTTTACACAATCAAGCGAATATGTGGAGTGTCACGTTTATGGTAGTCCGCGAAACCAATAAAATTGGAACAATTGATCAGCAATTATCGGGATTGTAACGGTCAACTACCGCAATCGACTTTAAAAATAAATCCGCAACGTTACGCGAAAAATAAATGCATTTACAACAAACACCAGTTGTGAAATAGCCTTAGGAGGTCGTATGCACTCTATTAAATTTTCCAATAGTGTCGGAACGTTTCATTAACTTTAATTCATCGGAACCTATCTGCTATTTGGTTTAAACTGATTGATTTTCCAGACGAATAGCATTTACGTTTGATAGATATATATACTTATATAAGAGTAGTAAATCATCTAGTATTTATTTAGTAAATCATCTAGTATTTATTTAGTAAATCATTTAGTGTTATTATAGTATTGAATTTTGTGGTAACAATAGTAAGTTTTACACAATCAAGCGAATATGTGGAGTGTCACGTTTATGGTAGTCCGCGAAACCAATAAAATTGGAACAATTGATCAGCAATTATCGGGATTGTAACGGTCAACTACCGCAATCGACTTTAAAAATAAATCCGCAACGTTACGCGAAAAATAAATGCATTTACAACAAACACCAGTTGTGAAATAGCCTTAGGAGGTCGTATGCACTCTATTAAATTTTCCAATAGTGTCGGAACGTTTCATTAACTTTAATTCATCGGAACCTATCTGCTATTTGGTTTAAACTGATTGATTTTCCAGACGAATAGCATTTACGTTTGATAGCGGCGCTGATACACTGTAACGAGTCTACGGTTTTCCCCTTGGTTTGTTTGCGCAATTTTATTATTTCGATAAATTACAAAAGATTATTGAAACATGAATTTTCAGGGAGATTAGATATTCCGGCTTATTGTGCTTTGCTTAAGACTTTTTATAATTTTTTTGCGCGTATTACATATAGTGTATAATAAATGAAATACTTGAATTTAAAATCATGATAATTATTAGATTAATTATCAATGTTATACTATATTTATGTATTATATTTTTTATTCTTCTTGAGAGAATATATAAAATTTGAAAAAGAAAGAGAGAGAGAGAGAAAGAGAGGAATATTTTTAGCGCAAATCTGAAAAGGTTAAATACATCCTCATGAGAATAGACATTTTTCTCTCGACAGTACGAAAAATTTGTCCCGTTGTGATTGTTGCCGCAATGACGAGTTTTTGCTCGCGCGACCGCGCGATCGTCGAGATCGAAGTTTTATTCCCACCGCATGACGTAAATCCACGTATTCTTTGCCAGCGACCAAAAAGTATCCCGCCCTAAGGCTCTCTTTCTCATCACCATTTTTCGGTGCTCGCTTTTCCGACGGGAGACCGAAAAACAACCGTTCTGCCACGATGAAGAAGTATCTCCCGACCAACTTTCTAACCGCTAGTGTCTCTTGAGAAAAAACTCGGCAGCGTGCAAAAGCGTAGCGTCCGTTTCTGAAAACTTCAAAGGTGGACGGGAAAAACGAGTGTCTCTATAAACGAAGAATAAAAGCCAATCAAGCGAATTTTTGTAAATATATGGCAATACGTTTTTAATATTTAAACGAAAGTTACGGAGTTACTCTGCGCGAGTATCGATCCATCGGCGCGTAACAAGCTACGTAAATATCCATATATCTACTTTTACTCTTTCAGCATCAAAGAAGATGTTCATTTCCTTGCTATAACATGTCCATTATTGACGTAATAATGAGTTTATATTTTCGTAATTAAAAGTTTATTGCAAATTAGGGATAAATTGAATTAATTAAGACAAATATTAAGAAGTTTTTTTTTTTCAAAAGTAGAATATTTGATAAAAGGAGGAGAAAAATAGATATATTTAACATTGTTATTGTAGAGAACATAATAATAGATACAGAAAGTTTATTGAGACACGATAGGCGCGCCAGTAAAGTGAAATTTTGTTTTCTTGGCAATCCACTTCTCAGCGGGTTATAAAAATTGCCTTTTATAGTCCCTATAAAATCTTTCTTTCCTGCAATGATGCAATCACAATACTGCGAAAATCCTACTGAAATAGCCGACCAAAGAAAAAACAATCGTGAATATTACGGAAAATTGGCGTGTCTCATAGGAACATCGTCGTGTCTCGTGATGAAATATTTTATTCATTCAGAGAGACAAGAGAGAGAGAGAGAAAGAAGAGAGTTAATTCGAACTTCAATAATGAAAAACAGGCTTTTGCCCTGTTATATAATGCAATTTTTTATCCTAATAAAAACCCGTTGAAACGCGAAAGGATTTAGAAAATACGAGAAGTAGAATAAAAAAAGGAAATTCTTTTTCCATAAAAAATGCAAACGCGCGCTCGCGTATAGAAACTATTTCTAAATTCTATTAATTTAACATAATTATATATTATACTTGAGAGAGAAAATTTGATATAAGAAAGAGTCAATGTTCTAAAAATTGATTTTTAATATTGTGGAAATCGTTGATAGAGCTTCGGTAATATGAGGGATATTAAATTTATTCAATTAATTTATTCAATCAACTTATATACTTCAAGAGAAAGATATAATATTTCTATAATAATAATTAATATATATATATATATAACCAGCAATCAATATATTTTTTTCATTAGATTATTATAAAAATTTGTTGTTTCTCAAGTTGATCCATTCTTGTCGCGTGTGGTTTTATCGAAAATTGCAAATGGTTGCGAGGAAAAATCTGCGCGCGATGAATTACGTTTAGTCGCGCGTTACGGTAGACATTGTTCGTGCAATAGACCGGAATTGCGCGAATACTCGCGGTAGTCGTTTGCATGCGGGGATAACCGGGTGCCGTTGGCCGCCAAATCTCGCTGTATTTTGGCCAATTCAAAATTGAAAGTACAGGGTGCACAGACTCGTGCGAGCGGCGCGTGTATATATGATACATTTCACAATAGCGGATGCATTTATCACGACCAGAAAACTGCGGCTCTCGGTCGCTCTCGAAACTCCATAAATTCCCCGCCGTTAGTGGAAAACGGTGGTGGGGAATCTCCGGTAAAGTGCGGTGGTGGAGGTGAAACGAGGGAGAATCGACACGTCGGAAATCTATTTCTGGGGAAAGAAAAGTCGGGCAAACTGTTACGCGATTAAATCGCGAGCTGCCAGTCGAGACTCTCGAAATTCACGATCGTTTGCCTTCGATTTAAGGCGACTGAATTTTACCAATAAAGACGTCTTCATCATGGTTCTTCTTCACCTCCTTGCCTTCTGTAGGTTCGCAAAAGGACGCGTTAACGAGGGATTGATTTCTCATCAAAGAACTAAAATATTTTACGTATTTTTGTTTAAAAATTTATAACTAGTCGCAGGTAAAAAGTGAATAGTAACCTTTTTTCGGGAGGGTGCTTGTGATAGTTGGATTTGGGAGGTCTTAATACTGATAATCAATGTGTCATTTTTAAACATAAATTTTTTTTAATAAAGTAAAATTTAACCGAAAAAATGTCGAGATAAAAGATATTTAAAAATATTAGTTAAAATCGGCTAAATTTATCATAACAATTAAGGAGACTACGATATTTGTATAATATTGATGATAGTATGATTGTAATGATAAATGATCATTTCAGTAAATAGATAATCAATATCGTTTATTTCTATTCCATGAAGGCACGGTATCTCATTTGCAATAATTTTGAGTTTACATATATTTTCCATGTTTAATAATTATGAAATATGTAGATGTAGCAGTTGGGAGGGAATCAAATTTCAAGTGCATCGTACATCTCCATATATGTGCGTGTGCGTGTGCGTTACGTTATATAATTTTTTTTGCGGTTTTGTATATTTTTTTTATGTTCTTACTTTTTTCATTAGGAGATCTGTAAGTCTGCGGGAAATTCAGAAATAAAACAAGATGCTCTTGTAAGTGGAGTGCACCTTGTATTTACGATGCCATAGCGTCGTCCATTATCTGGAGCTCCTACTGCGTTCCATTAGTCCCGTGTAACTAACTTCTTCAGCTTCCAAGGATTTCACGCTGAACCGTGCTTATAGGATCAAAAGATTAGGTCCACGCGTTACGCTCAATATATATATATATATATATGTATATATGTATATATGTATAATGCGCACGTCGGGAGGAAACTTTAAACTTATCCACAAATTCGAAAAATCAACAAAATTTCATTGTAACATCGCCGATTTTCGGGTACTAAAAGATATATCTGTTTAAAACGATGAAAAAAGATGAAACGGTGAAAAAAATTGAGAAAATGAACAAATGAGAGCAAAAAAAGATGAATTTTTATCAGGTAGCTGATAGTACCTAGTATGCAGATTCCGTTTTCTCCATAATTTTAAAAATTTATCCATCCTGATAATAAAATATGCGAAAAGTATGCAGTTGCACAAAATTACGCGAAGAGATCGATTTTATAAAATATTTTAAAGAATCATATGCTCTTAGATGGAATGATAACGAAAACGCAACTCGATCGAGAGCAACAATTCGCATCGGTGAATTGTAATCGTATATTTGATACAGAGGTCCAATATTTGGACGCGCTCGATTGTAAGCATACGCAAGTGCGAGAGCGATGTGCGTCTAAAAAGAGAGATGTTGTCGTTTCAATCAAAACCGACAGACAAGAGCAGATACATCGC